CCGAAAATTCCAATATATATTCCACAGAAGCATCGTGCACGATTCAATCAACAACAGTCACGCGCAAGAAAATGTAAGGAAAATTCAGCCACAAAAAATTGTAAGGAAGTTTAAGCGTTGGTAGAGCGAGCACAGGCGATCGCGACATGCAACCAAGCAATGCAGCCGCAGCCCGCAGGCGCAGGGCAACGGGGGAAAGAGAGAATGGAACCGAAGCATCGAACGTGCAGTAACAGGGAAGCGGTGAAAAAAGAAAAGTAATAATACAGCGATGAGAAAATGAAGAGGCGTGGCGTGGGGATCTCACCACCCAGAGCGGGGGCACGGGCACGCGGCGCGTGACGGCGAGCCAGACCCATCCGTACCCGACGAGGTTCTGCGCGGCGCCGACGAGGAGCGCGGCCCAGAGCGGGAGCACGGCGCAGAGCGTGCCGGCGAGGAAGCCGACGCTGTCGCCGAGGTCCTTGGCGACGCCGAGCCCGGCCACCTGGCGCTGGTTGTAGCCGAGCGAGGCCTTGATCACCGGCGAGAGGCTGCCGAAGAGGTAGCCGACGCCCGCGCAGGACTGCATCCACATCGCCGCCACGAACACCAGCCACCGGTTCCGCAGGAACCCGCGCACCCGGCTGCCCACCTCCGCCATTGCGCTTCCCGGGCTCCGGACTCGGAGCTCCAACCCCCCGACGCCGCGATACCCCGCGCGCGCGGCCGATTCAGAACGGACAAGGCGGCGGGCCGGGTGTCCGCAGCGGCGCGACGGACGGGCGGACGGGGTTGGGATCTTCTGGGCCAGGGACGGGCGCGGCGCCCGGATCGTTGTGAGGCACGGCAGGCTCCGGCACGGCAGCGGTTGCCGTGGCTTTCTGTGGGTTGCCGAATGAATGCCGATAAGCGTGCGTGCGTGCGTGGGTGTCCCAGCCCTGCCCCAGTGTCGCGGATACAAAAATGACGGACGGAAACGGGACCGGCCGAAATTCGTGGGATTGGAGCTCGTTTCCGCTTTCGCTGTCGCAGTTTGGGCGGTCGGGTCGGGATCGGGCGGCTAGGGTGGGCGGCCGGTAGGCCCCTTCTGGGGAGCGATGACGACTCGGCTAGACCGCCGCGAGTGGAGGCAAAGGCCAAAGGCAGGCGAGAGGCCACAAATACGGATTATTTACTGTTAGCTAATTTAGTATGAGAGAAAAATGCTATTCTAGTTTATAATCCATAGTCATATACGATCGTTTACGGTGTACCGAACATGCCCGACGGGCGTTAACAGGGAAAGCCAAGCCTTTTCCTCCGGTGCGCAGTGCGCGCTTCACGCACGCCTTTATTTGATGGCACGGGCCAAGCCCCAGTGCGCAGTACGGAGTAGCAGCTAGCGAGCGACCGGGCTTTTGCTGCGAATGCCGCCTGCCGGTGGGTAACCGACTGAACTGAACGTGCCGTGTGCCGATGCGCCGAGACGTACGTGTTGCCCGCCGGGGAGAAGATACCAAGCGGATGCGTTTCATGTCAGTTGCCGGCTTTTGGCGCTTGAACGACGGTGAGCTTAGGGGAAAAGTTCCAACGCCAGTCTCAGTCGGTAGTCAACTTGACGCCGGAGAATGGCTGTTTGTGCCGTCTGCGTCTTCTGCGGCGTGTCCGTCGTTAACAACGACACAAAAAATACAAAACCCATTCAATGTTTGGGTAGTGCTACAGTCAAATAGTTTAATACCCATTTAACGTCATCTTCGACAATAGGACCAAAAAAGAATCATTTCTGCAAATAAGTTTTTAGGAGAGAGGATACTCATATTTGGGTTGTGCCTCTCAGACAGTCCAAAATAAGTCTCGGACACTCTATTCGAGACTAATTTTAGATCTTCTATTACCCACTTTAAATTTAGGTGTCCATGCCTTTTTAGACAGTCTTACCTGCCGTGCATGCTTGGGTGTCATTTTCCCAGCCGTCTCGTTGGTGGGCCGTGGGCCGATGATATACACAACTGGTAATCTATATTTTATTTCTGCGTAATAAATTAGTACTCCGTCGGTGTTGAGATGGTATGCTACACGTCAGCCGTGTCTATTCAGCGCTTGCCATTTTAGCTAATGTGTGAGCCGGACAAAATATAGAACGAAGGTAGCTAGCGATTTTGGATGGATGCCTGGCTAGCGTCATCTACCTCTAGTCTCTGCATTCCGTTCCAACGAACCACCGTTCTAAATCCAAAGGAGCAGAGCTAGCAATGGGTGTGGACATGGGCAAAAACTCACCCGCGGATAATTGACAGTCAAGTATCCGCAAAGATATGTGCATCAAATTTTACCCACAGGTCTCGATGAGTATCTACAATTTTGAGAATAAATATAAATATCTTTAACATGTGTTATATGTAAGGCTGGACGAAAAACTTAAAGCTCGTTAGCTCGCTTGGCTCGTGGCTGGCTCGACTCGGCTAACGAGCCGAGCCAAGATTTTTGCTCGTTAGCTATAACAAGTCAGCTCGCGAGCCGCTCACGAGCTAAACGAGCCAAGCTTACAGAAAAAAAGTATCAAAACTTATATTAGTTTTTGTATTACTTCATGTCTTGCACTTTACAATTGACTGGTAACTGGTCTAGACCCTATAAATTGACTAGTAACTGGTCTAGATGCATTTCTTTTATATTATTATTATTCTCAAATTTTAGATAAATGCAAATATTATATTTTGTGTATTTTTTATATATGGCTCGCGAGCTTAACGAGCCAGCTCGAACTTTTAACGAGCCGAGCCGAGCTGGCTTTCTGACTCGTTAGGATAACGAGCCGAGCCAAGCCAGCTCGTTATCCCGCCTTAGCTATATGCGTCGACTCACCCATTTAATATGGAACTTATAGCTTATGCCCATCCACTTGCATTGGTACGTGGTAATGGAACTCGCTGCAACCAATTTTCTTGTTGATAATAACAAGTGATAAAAAAAAAGTGGACTTGCGCATCTGGCCATGGGCATGATGCAGAAGGATCATGTTCACAGATGCAGATGCTCGCTTTGTGAAGTTCCCTTTCCCTTTATAGAAAGACTAGAACGATACTTGCGATGGAGGAGGCGACTCGTGCGAAGGGGGAGCTAGTATAGCTTTGCGTTAAACTCTGTAGCTGAGATGTAGGCTAATCGTTGTAGGCATTGCTTCTTGGTTAACTACATTGTTCGTTATAGTTTTAGGAACTCAGATTATATAAAATATGGAGTTTACTAGAGGCAGTGTGCGCAGGTGGATAGGAATCCGCCCGCATGCCTCTCCCCACCCCGTGCTATTCCTCTTCCCTGCAGTCCTGTCTACGTGACGCCTCCACCCCCGTCTCTTCTCTCTCCTCGCCGCCGCCTCCCCTTGCCGCCGGCTGTGCGAGTGCCCCCGCATCCATCAGATCCAGCAAGCCCCTCCCGGCTGGCGGTAGGGTCTCACCGGAGAGACCCTACCGCCGGCGGCGACCTCCTCGTTCCCCTCCCCCCTCCCTCTCGCCCCCTCCCGCACGCTGCCATGGCGGCCCCGCCCCGACCTGACCCGGCCGCCCCGACCACCGCCAGCTCCCCTGAACCGTCCGTCGACCATCCCCACCGCCTGACCTATCTTCCTCCTCCGGCCGGCCATTCTATAACCCGCCGGATTTAGGGAAGAGGGTGGGGCGCGGCTCGCCGGAACCCTAGCGCCGCCGTCTTCTTCGCCGGAGCCGGCACAGGCGCGGCCGGGCACGGGCGAGTGGGGCACGGGCATGTGGTGGGGTGTTGGTGGTGCCTTATCTGGCAGCGGTGTGGAGCTCAGCCCCAGTAGCGTGTCTTCTCCGGCCTCGGCCGAAGAGCGATCGGACGACCACCACGCTGGCTGGTGCGTCTTCTTCCCCACGCTGGTGTGTGCCCGAGCCTCTGGATCGCGCAGAGTTAAGCATTTCCGATAAAATATATAATACCAATCACATGTAATGGCCACAAATTCGGTTATATGCAAGGTGTCCAAGCAAATACCATAAATCAACATGACAACGTGAGAAGGCGGCACTAAGTATTAAACTTCTTTGACAGGACATGCCATATGTTTTTACTACAACTATACAGTAGTAACTTACGCACAATTTTATAGAACGGAAAAGTTACTTCATGACCCATCGCGCTCCACGCGGACGGCGCGACCCTCTCCCTCTCCCACGCTGACGCGCCCGAGAGGACGACAAGGTGGTCGGCGGCGGACGCGTCCCGTCGAGCTCCTCCCCGCACCCGCACCCCCACCCGTGCCGGCGAGCTCCTCTCTCTCCCCCCTCCGGCGGCAGCAGCGCCGACGAGGTAGGGCTCCTCCTCCTCCTGTAACAATCGGAGAAGAAGACGACGGCGGCAGTGGCTAGGGTTCCGGCGAGCTTCTCTCCCTCTTTCTTCTCTAATTCTGGCGGGCTATAGAAGGGGCCGGCCGAGGGGAGGCAGGCCGGCCAGACGGTGGGGAAGGATGCCGGGCAATTTAGGGGGCCTGGCGGTAGTAGCGGCGGCCAGGCCAAGTCGGGGCGGGGCCACCATGGCCGGAGCTCAGCGTCGCCGGCGAGCATGGCCATGTTGGAGCTCCGGCGAGAGGGCGGGCGCTAGGGTTGCCATATACGGTTACAAGTACCAAGGATCAACTGCAAGCATAAATAAAAATGAGATTATACAGCCCGTAGGTCCACCTAACCAGGAAAATATTGCATCACTGAGGATATTAACAAATCAATCAACTTAGATTTCCTTTCCCCAATGATGCAAGTTCAACGCTCATTTCATCCACCAAAGTTCAGCTGTCACATTTCACCTAAATAGACTAAGCTACTGCAGATAATACCAAGATAATCTAGATATAACAAACGACACTTCTACAGACATGTCTACTCCGGAGACGGAGGTTCAGGAAGCAGCCACGGCGCCACAGCAACCAGCAGGTACCACTAACCTGAACTGCCTTCTTGGAGGCAGCGCTCCCTTGAAGCTGCTGCGCTCTGGCACATGCAACTTGCTGAAGGTAGCTTTCACCTGAACTTTGGCTTCTTGGAGGGCGGCGCTCCCTTGAAGCTGCTGCGATCCGGTGCACGCGACTTGCTGAAGGTCTTCGCGTTGCGGCGCCTCCTCTCCTCCTCGCTGTCCAACTCTGCACTGTTCTCATGGTCCGCGTTGCTTGCCTCGCGTTCCAGTTCCTCCCAGGTCTTGCCCTTCTCCTCCTCTGAATCCTCAACTGACTCATCATCATCATCATCGTCAGATTCCACTAAGGACTCGCTGTCTGAGTCATCATCTTCTGACTCGGACTCAGGCTCAGCGTCGGACGGCACATAGCCTTGGTCTGATTCCTCTGTGTCATCAGTCTCTGAGTCGCTCGCCTCCATGTTCAGGAACTCCCAGCCGCCATCGTCAATGAACTTCTGAGGATCATCAATTATTGTTTTCAGGATAGGACGCCAGTTCAGATTCAGCCTGCTCTCGTAGTACTTGAGGTCAGTTGTGTCCAGCCATTCCTTTATCGCGTCAAGCGATGCTGAAGGGATGGAATCAATACGGAGAACATCCTTCTTGAAGTCCTTGAACACGATAGCCATGTCAAAGTTCTTCGTTCCAAAGCCCACCCTCTCCAGGTTAACAATCTCTATCTCGCTCAGGCTCACCACAAGGAAGGGAGTCTCAATCAGCTCAACCAAACATGTAGAAGCTGGAATGATGAAAGCAGAAGCTTTATATGGGACACCATGGAACCCAAGCTCTCTAAGTGGGACATCAAACTCCAGGTCAAGCCCCTTGAACTGTGGTTGCGACCAGTGGTCATTAACCTTGTTCACAAAGTTCTGGAAATCCATGTTTATTCTGCTCTTCCTATCCCTCTCACGCTGCTCTTCTTCAATCTCATCAGGATCAAGTGCCGATCTTCTACTGCCCCCAAGAGTCTGTACAACATCCATAACTTCAACATAGAACTGGACATCCTTTGTCTTTTTGTTTCCAACCATGATATGGTTGTGCAGATGGAAGTGAAGGAGAGTAATCATTTCTTTCTCTGCAGGCTGGAAAAAGGCATGCTTTATATTTCCATACATGATGTCCACGCGCTCATCAGACCTTGAAGTAGAATATCTGAAACCATTGAAATGAGCCTCAAGATTTCCTGTGAGCTTCCTCCCATGACCACCAAATGCAGGTCGTATCCACACATCAGAAAGTTTCATCATCTTCATTCTGTTGTTTCCGATCTGAAGTTTCTCCTGGGTAACAAGAGTTGCCCTTTCAGCTCTCTCTGACTCCCTTGAAGCAACTTGCCTCCTCAACGTTTTGATCTGCTGAACAACTTCACTGCTATGCCGTGGATCTTTTGAGCGGAATGTAATTTCTTTCAGATAGATAGCACCTTGTGAATTCAGCTTGCTATCATTTGAGAATAGCATGCCAGGCACATTGAAGAAGATGCGGATAGTGCAGGTGCGGTTGTCCTGGTGGCTGGTCACACTCTTGACAGTAGAAACATGGAAAGGAACCATACTGCCATAAATAGGTAAGAGGACAGCTTCATTCTTCTGATCTACTTGGATCACCAAATCTCTTACAAATGGTACATCATTAACGTTCTTATATGCAACAAGCTCATTTGAAGCCCTGGCAGGACCACGTCCCTCACCAGATCCAGAACCACCCCCAGCAAGCCTTCTAGCAGTCTCTTCATTCTTTTGGCGAGCAAGTTCAGCCTGGTGCTGTCTCCGGAGCTCTTCCTTCGACATCTCCTGGTTGTCCGATCTGAGAGTTGCCTTGGTTGGCAAGACATCTATGGTCTTCGACTCTATCTTCACCTCAGCATCATCATCATCATCTTCGTTGAACGAATAAGCAACATCTTTGACTGCCTTGGAGCAAGGTGCTGTTAAGATCTCGTGTCCTCTTTCATTGACTAAAACTGTATCAGCTAACAACAGTGAAAACTGCTTTGTCTTCTCACTAATTGTTTCTGCCTGGACGTTATGCAAACCAAGGGATACATTAAAAACCATTCCCTGTTTTATCCTACGATCATTCTTGGCATTCAGATTTAAGCCAGATTCTCGGAATTCAAGGCCTATTCCAGTTCCAGCTGACTTTGTTAGTTTAGGAAGAAGTTCAGGGGCATCCCTCTCAATCACTGCCACTGCAGCTTGATAAACTGCACTCATCTGATTGCCTGGTCTCACTTGTTCAACAGCAGCTTCATGAGCTTTCAAAAGGGTCTCATATGCTTTACTCTGTAGGGGTAGCATCAATAAGATATGTCCGAGCAACATTTGAACAATAGCTACTGTATTTGGAACCAATTGCACAGATGATAACACTTGCTGAATCATAATACAAGTACTCGTCATTGCTAGACGCACCAGGCTTGAGATCAAACTTACCCCCACTTTGAAAGACTGGAGGGTAGCATATATCAACATTATCAGGCTTCAATTGGACCTTAACCTTGAGCGGATCAAGAATAGCCTTCTCTGTGTCATCCATCAATGATGAGTGTGAGACTTTCTTCTCCTCATCAATAACTTTCTCCAACTTAGGAACCACAAAATTTTTCAGAACAGATGAAGTTAAGTAAGCAGCCTTCTTCACACACGTGATCTCTGTGGTGTCCTTCACAGAAAAGAGCTCAGAGAAGCCGTTTGTTACATCTACAAGTCGTAGGCCTGATCCAGATAACTTTTCTGTCCATGTTTCAAGAAGCTTACCCTCAGGTACCTCTTTGGCAATGTGTCCAACAACTGGCTTGTCTGATTTCGATTGACTACGAGCAGCCTGCACTATGTCATCCATCAAGTCAGAACTATCACCATTCTTGGTTTTCACATGCAACACAATGTCAGCACCAACAGCCTCGTTTGCAGCCTTCTTGAGGGTCCCAATAAGATTTGCTTTCTTCTGACTGCATAAAACATGTAATTGCTTGTGCATGAAGACAATTATCAACAACAACAACAAAGCCTTTAAGTCCCAAACAAGTTGGGGTAGGCTAGAGTTGAAACCCAGCAGAAGCAATCAAGGTTCAGGCACGTGAATAGCTGTTTTCCAAGCACTCCTATCTAAGGCTAAGTCTTTGGGTATATTCCATCCTTTCAAGTCTCTTTTTATTGCCTCTACCCAAGTCAACTTCGGTCTTCCTCTGCCTCTCTTCACGTTACTATCCTGGCTTAGGATTCCACTACGCACCGGTGCCTCTGGAGGTCTCCGTTGTACATGAAGACAATTATCGTTTATGGAAATTCGTATCCAAGTAACCAAATATCCAGGGCAGATGATTTCAAATAACGAAGATCATCAGAAGGAGGTGGGGTAGCAGTGGCAATAGCATCGCATTTAACTCCAAATATCAGACTTATGCTCCTTCCAATGGTCATAGAATACCTTCAGTCGCTTACTGAAGTTCTCTAGATTAATTGTATAGGCGCCAGATCCCCCTTTGGCATTACCATTATCAGCCATCTTTGTCAATCAGCTAACATTAACCAAGGCAACTGCAGAAAGAATTGATCCGAAGTTAGCAAACAAGAAAATCACAAGGTTATCCTAACAGTAAGCCATGAAAGTGTGAGCATTAAAAAATACTTGAGAACAAAACAAAAATTGTACAGGCAAATACGATGGAGCAGTAGCCATGCAGAATATGAAAATTGACAGTGGTTATCAAAATAACATTTTCCTTATAGAAAGGAGAGCAACTTGCAAGTTACTTCAATTACAATTACTATGGATTAGCTATAGTCACAACAGGTAATCATTGTCCCAATAACAGCAACACTGCATACAAAGACGTTCCTTTTAACATAATACAAAAGGATATTTTACTAGTCCATACTTGCAATCTTAAAAGCATATCAACTTCCACGAATCAGTTTGGGAAGGGGAATTGGAATCCAAATCCTTAGATTTACTTCATCGAGACAGGCCCGCAGTGACTGCGAAACCATGAATAAATATCTATACAGCTGATAACGAATGTACCACACCACTTGGATCTATTACTTCAATAAATATTAAAAATGCTAGTTTTGTGTATCTATTAAGCCATGGTGGTGAAGAAAAACACTTAACGGGAGCATTACAATAATCTGGTATTTGAGACACTTTGATATGCCAATCATGTCATATAGAACAATAACATAGATTTTCAAAAGTTCCATTACTTTGCAATCTACTCAGGCCCTGTTTAGATCCAAGGAGTAGGGATGAAAGCGGGAACGGGAAATTCCCGTACCGACCGACACCGAATACCGAAATTTCCGACCGGATATCATTTTCTCGGGAAAAAACGGATTCAGGAAAAAAATCCGGGAAAATCCGGCGAATCCGGTTTCGAAATCGGTTAAAGCGATTTCCTGACCGAATTAGCGGATCCCATATTTGTCCGGGAAACCTCCCGCGGGAAATTCCCGTTTTTCCCATGGCCGCACCCCGGACCTCTTTAATGCAGCCGCTGGTGTGCGATCTGCTGAGCTCCACCGATGTGGGACTAAAATGCTACACCCCCACTGTGCTGTGCTACTGACAGTGGCAGCCGACCAGCAAGGTTTGGCCCAGCCCAGGAAGCAAGGTTTGGCCCAGGAAGAGAGGAGACAAGGAGCATGCGGCCCATCATTCCATGCTTGGCCCAGGAATTCACACATGGAGCACAGGAGCAGCAAGGTTTGGCCCTTTGTTCATTTTTCTTTTCCGTTTTTTTTTTTTTTGTAGTTCCGTAGTTTTCTTTGCATAAATATTCTGACGAGCTCACTGTTTGCTATTGTTTGCATATGGATTATGCATGGTTGCTATTGTTGCATCGAGCTCACTGTTTCTAGTGGTTACATATATCGATGTTTCCGTTTTGTGTTACCGCTTCCCGATCGTAATCGACGCGTTCCCGTTCGAAATATTCCGTTCCCGATATCCCGTAATACCGGATTCGTTTTCCCGTCCGGCCTTCCCGTTCCCGTTTCCGTTCCCGTCCAAAAAATACAGGAGCAGGAATGGTTAAGACATTTTCCCGACCGTTCCCGACCGTTCTGCTAATAATTAACTCCTTGGATCCAAACAGGTCTAGCTAATAGCTAATTGTTAGTTGACAACTATTTCACTAGCTGATCAAAACTAGCTAATAGCAGCTAATATTAGGTGTGGTCTATTAGCTAGCTAATTACTTGACAATGGATCCAAACAGGGCCTTAACTACTTAAGTTCTATTACAGCACAGCGGGTCTCAGATTCTCAAATATAGCATTCTCAGAATTAGGAAATTAACAGAAGGCATTCAGGCTTGCAATTCAGGCTCGCATCAAGTTTGTTCTTCCTCATTTGTCTCATTCTCATCCACACACCAGGCCGGAGAAATTACAAACCAAAAGACACAGCTTGCACTAGCACTACTCATATTTGGAGACATATTTGGAGGCGCCATCTATTGCATACAATAAGCATGGTAAACCCTAATCAGTACGAGGAAGTGGGGAACATGAAAAATCAAGCAACGAGAAGCCGTCAACAACTGCAGAAATAGGCTAGATCGAGAATGGGAAGGGGAAAGTGGTGGACAACGAAATCAAGCAACGAGAAGTCAAGAACTGCAGAAACAGAGTAGTTCGAGAATGGGGAACGGGATGAACTCACGGGTGGTCGTCGGATCGACGTCGCGAGGGCGCAGGATCGTCCCTAGCGGCGGGCGAGCAGGGGCGGGGGGTCGTCGCCGGCGGCCGCCGAGCGTGGGCGGAGGCTCGTCGCCAGCGGCCGGCGAGCGGGGGCGAGGCTCCCTCTATGCGTCGCGCTGGTGTGCGGCAGAGGCGGCGCAAGGTGGTGGCGCGCGGGCGTCGGGTGGGGGCTAAAGGCCTAGGGTCGTAGGGCGTCGGGGACACAGCCACACAGGGAGACAAGGCCGCCGTACTGCTTGTTGAGATGGGCCGTATCGGATATAGGCCAGATAGGTATCGGGCCACGTTCTAATATTCTTCGCGAAATTAAGTAAAAATTCGGATCGGTGGTCTATCCGTATCGGCCCATGTAATCAACATTTTTTATTCATGTTGTTAATTATATTATGGATTTTACTACAGCATGCGTGTGTAGGATTTGGACTTCCAGCATGCACACTTCCTCACATCAGTTTTTAGTAAAAAAAAAAAGAAAAAAAATGTAACAGAACCGACCAATTATACAAAATTAAGTAAGAAAATCATCCGCCAGAGTAGACGATTTAGCAAACTTAAGCCCGTATAACCCGGTAGTCCGTGAAATCACGAAGGATTTCAAACCAACTCACATACCAGCCAAGATTGTAATAAGTTTAGCGATCACCATCACATATTACATAAAAGTTCGCATCACAGATACATCAGAGTTTAAACATAGTTATTACAAACAAGTTCGAATAAAAGTAGCGAAAGCCATTTGTTCAAAACCACACACACTCACACGGAGTTCAAATACAGTGCCAGCTAATGATCATCTCCAACAAAAGCATCAGACGAGACGTAAGGAATGACCATGCCCATGGTCCTAAGCATCACCCATCGCAGGATAAAGACAGTTGATACAGTAGCCGTAATACATCTGCCCATCTGCAACAAGTGGGAATAAAACCCTGAGTACGAGAAGGTACTCAGCTAGACTTACCCGACATAACCGAAAATAAAGTGACACCAAGGATTATGAAGGGCTTTATAGTAGGGTAGCTGACTCATTTGCAAAAAGAGGCATTTTTAGTATTTCAAGAACCTTTTCAAAAGCATTATTATCAAGTTAATTATTATTAACCTATCGACTACATTTGCACCTATAATAGAGCAAGCATGTGATTAAGCAAATAATAATAACCAATGATCATTAACAACTTCCATAATGTCACATTCCTTATAACTATCCAAGTGTTCCATCAACATTACTACGATGAAGTCACTCAAGTCAAGTGCTCACTATCCAGGAGCGATAGCGATTCGAATCGATTCCTAACCAGCTGGTGATTTATTCCTTACACAAACATCACTCACCCGCTAAAGTGAGGTATCGGTCACCGAGTCAACTATCCAGGAAAATCTCGAGTTTGCTAGGAACCACATGTACCCGGGGGCCGACCGACTGCCCTTTGGTCTTATCATCGCGCCCCCGTATCCTACCACACCTGCTCCGGTACAGTGCGCTGCGGGCAATCTACTCGGCCCGAATAATCTCCCAGCTTCGCGGTCGAAAGGTACTTTATTCGGCCAGCTAAATGTAAGGCATGCGTTCAACATGACTCAAGGCCCAACAATGGTCGGTCCTTAATCGACATAGACGGAAAGCACTACAGTCCAAAACTCTATAGGTCTCCGTCCGGTCTCAACTTCAATTAACACTTAGTTATACCATGACTACATAGTTATCCAAGCAGATCCAGGTAACCACCTATCGCTCGCAGGTGATAGGAAATCACCCGACCTCTACCGATCTAAGCCAACTAAGCATTGACTCGACTGCGGATACCAGGGTAACAAGGATATAGTATAACAAAGGTAGACAAGGTATAATGCAGCAACGGTTGCAAACAACTCCTAAACGTAATGCATCAATTAAAGTAAAGCATTTAATTAATAATTGCAAACCGGGGAGAAAAATGCTCCAGGGCTTGCCTCTCTCGAAGGAGCTCGGGCGGTGATCGGGACACTCCGGAAGTTCCTCAACGTCCTCCTTGTCTGCTTCGGTCACTTCCTGCGGCTACACCTCGAGCTGCTCCTCGGGCTCCTCGGGTATGATGACTGGGCTCTCAGTTTGCGATCCTGTATAATGCAGGTGCGTAAGTGCTTATGCAAAAGGTGCATCGGATGAAATGAACATAATGGATATGCTTGAATGCAAGGTAGTCAACATCATCCAAGAACATGTACTACAAGCACATGTCATCTACTGCATTCTCTTCTACTACTAATATACTAAGCCAACACATCTCATTAAATGCTTCAAAGATACACCAAAGCTTCACTAATTTCTTAATCATACATAAAGCAACATTTGATTAAACCCTAATTAATAATAGGTTTGAATAGCAACATCTATTTTTATAGCTTAGAAAAATCTTAGAAAATTACCATAGCACAGTACTACCCTAAGTAGTCTACCATTAAATTTTTATGACATTTGAATAAGTGGAGTAGCCTACACCAAAATGACAAGCTATGGCATAATTATGAACATGAAAATACTTGTATTATGAAAAGTGTCAGACAACAAATTTAGTATTTTTCCTATGATCTTAATAGCATACAATCACTGTACAAAAATTATCACATGCATGTTTTATACAAATTTTGCTCTCTAGCAAAAATAACAAAAATTCAGCCATTAAAGGCACTTGAACTACACCTCATAATTTTTCTACAGAATATGCATGGTATATATTTTTCACAGAAAGTACATCACCTAAATAGATCAACAAAATTAGAACCATATTTTTCTGACCTATATTCTATTTATTATACATT